GAGAATTCTTGAAAAAAATCAAATTTTCTCAAATAGTGCCTTTGAGAAATTCTCACAAAGTGATATTTTTATTAAAATGATCATTCTAACCTTGTTAGTCATTGTCCTCCATCTCACAACTACCTCTGTTTTCAAATGCTAGGTCGACTCTGATACCAAATGTCACGACCCGAGTCTGATGAGCCAACTGACCAATAACTTCATTTTGATCCTTCAACCACGAACCAAAATACTTAAGTGGGAGTTAACATAATATACTCATCAGACCCATATAAGTCAATCATACACATTGCCCACTTCTGATGTGGGACTAATGAGATGTTACAATTGGGCTCGATCTTTCACATCAACTCTAAGTGTATCTTTATTTGGTGTTGCCTAGGGTTGCTTCTTCACTTGATCTCACAATGCATCCACCAGCGCATTACTCATACGAGATTATGTGATAACTTCTCATCGCTTATTCAGTCCATTAAACTTTATGGAGTTGTTGTCTTAAGGTACCCCCTCAACATGTATAGTCCATTGCACATGATTCTCCCTATCGAGAATTAAGATTTATCCCTAATGAATATCTATCCCATTGGAGTAACTTTTCTCTTTGTATTCTTTCCTCTAGAAATTTTGGAGATCACCATCCTCTTAGACTACTCCGTCTTGTTGAACAATCTATGTATTGTTCCACCATCGTGAACGTACTTGCTAGATTGTGACTTATTGTCAAGATAGCTCTCGTTAAGGCCTATGAACTTATTACACAATTTAGCCTCTTATAGACATATTCTTCACATGTTGAAGAGAAAATTTTTATGCCCCATGTTACTAAGTTTTGATCGCCTTAGGCTAGTAATAGATAGTTTATCGTTCGCATACAAACTATTGCATGAGTATTGAATTCTTTAAATTAGCAAACTCTTTCTAACTGAGTTACCCATCTCTCTTTGCGTAGTCTCATTCTTTGCCAAGCACCATGCTTGTCTGCACCACCAAGTTTGGTTATCAATATCAAGCCATATGTATTCTTCCTACTTGCTTGTCCTCATGGTGCTTCTTGCATGAAGGGTTCGTCATTTTTTTGAATGTAAATTTTAGATGTATGTTCCTTTGAGTAATTTCATTCCTTATATCTTTATGTTTGTTTCCCTCAAACGGTCACATGTGCTAACTGCCTTCAATGCTGCCCTACTAAGTCTCTTATGTTTACATGTCAAGTGTTTCTAAATGTGTTTGCCCCACTTTGATACAATATGTTATAGATTTAGTTGATTTTACCTAAGTTATACTATTCTCTTATGTGTCTATCCATAAAGGATTAATCTTCCTGAAACCTTTTATGGTCGTTTAACTCAAGATCTTACAAGTAGACATTTCAATAAACACTTGATGGACAATATAAATTATAAATATAAATATCACAAGCTCTGAATGGTTGCATGACAAAGGGTCCTATGTGATCTGCGGTGGCCAAAAATCCCGACAAATGCCCACTCAACATTGCTCCATATTAAAACAATGAACCAACCTTAAACAATACTCTAAAGTCTCATCCAATCATGTTCCACTAGTTAGCTCTAGGGAGTTATACTAGTTGACACTTCGCACCACTCTATAAAATTAGAAAACCCCTAAAATGATCATTTAGATGACCTATTTTTTTGGTAATTTTATCTACGTGTGATGACTGCACACAACCTATGTTTAAATGACTAAAATAATCATAAAAGATAATAAAAAAGGAGCTATATGCCGTGTAAAAGCATAAACACAACTAAATGACTTAGGACATAAGAAAGAGGAGAGGGGTCGCATGCCTTCGTCGTTGCCTATAATACCCCGTCGCACTATCGACTATCGATAAGGAAAGAGATGAAGCGGTCCATACATTCGGTATATATATATATATATACTGTGGGCCGTGCGTATGCGTCTTTGGGCCTCACAACCGACCCCATCGTTCTCCCCCTTCCCGCCCTCTATTCCGATCTGCACGTGCCTCCACCACGACTCCTCCCTCGCAAATACCTCTCCCTCCTCTCACCGACCGCTCACTTCCCCCTCCCTCCGTTTCCGCCCCCCCAACCCTCAGATCCGTCCCCATGCGATCACCTCCGCCGCCGGAGGCCGGCGGCGGCGCCCACGACGCCGAGTCCCTTTTCCGGTCGAAGTCGATCCCTGAGATCCGTGCCGGGGAGGCGGCGACGCGGCGGGAGATCAAGGCTAAGGAGGAGGAGCTCCGCCAACTCGTCGGCGAGAGTTACCGCGACCTCATCGACTCCGCCGACTCCATCCTCCTCATCCGCTCTTCCTGCGAGTCCATTGACTCCAACCTCGCCGCCATCGACGCTGCCGTCGGCTCCCTCTCCGCCCCTGCAGCCGCCCCCGTCCTCAGCCCCAACCCCGCACGCGCCCGCGTCTATGGCATCGCGTCCAGGGTCAAGTACCTCGTCGACACCCCCGAAAACATCTGGGGCTGCCTCGACGAGTCCATGCTCCTCGAGGCCTCCGGGCGGTACCTCCGCGCCAAGGAGGTCCACGGCCTCTTCGCCGACGACGCCGCTGATCGCGAGGTGCTTGCCAAGTTCCCGCTGCTCCGGCACCAGTGGCAGATCGTCGAAGGCTTCAAGGCCCAGATTTCCCAGAGGAGCCGGGAGAGGCTTACGGACCAGGGGCTCACCGTCGCGGCCTATGCTGATGCCCTCGCTGCCGCCGCCACCATTGACGATCTCGACCCAAAGCAGGTGCTCGGCCTGTTTTTGGACTCCAGGAGGTTGTGGATCTCGCAGAAGTTGGCGGGCACCTCCTTGGACCCTGATTCTTCCTCCTGCTTGTTATGTGATGTGGTGAGGACGATTAGATCTAGTCTGGGGCAAGTGGGCGAGCTCTTTCTTCTCGCATTGAATGAAATGCCGTTGTTCTACAAGATGGTGCTCGGATCTCCCCCTGGAACGCAGTTGTTTGGGGCGATTCCCCATCCTGAGGAGGAGGTGAGGCTTTGGAAGTCACATCGGGAGAAATTGGAAGCAGTCATGGTTCTTCTCGAGCCAGAGTTCATTGCTCAGACCTGTTCTTTGTGGTTGAGAAACTGCTGCGATGAGATCTTTGGGGTGCTGGCTGGCGGTGCTTATATAATTGATGCAATTGCAAGCGGACAAGGGCTTTCGACTGCTGAAAAACTGGTCTGCAAAGCCTTGGATGATCGAGGGGACTTGGAGGATAGCTTGGAGCAGTGGCTGAAGAGTGTTTTTGGCTCCGACATTGAGTCTCCATGGAACCAGATTCGAGGCATCATTCTGAAAGATGGGAAGGATATCTTTGAAGATAGGTTGGAAGAGGCATTTGTTAAAAGAATGAAGGAGATCGTGCATTCTGAGTTTGATAACTTGAGCCAGGATATCAACTTGAAGAACACTATTCAGGCTATTGTGGAGACCACAGATCCAAAAGAAGATCAGGATGATTTCCAAGCTTACTTAAAGAAACCATCTAATGGTGGTGGTATTTGGTTCTCAGAGCCAATTCAAAAGAAAACAGGATTGCTTTATGCACTTAAGCTGACAATTTATGAGAATGACTTCCAGAATAGCCTTAATACATATCTTGGACCTGAAGTTACTCGGATCAGAGATGTGGTGGACAACAAATGCCGGAGCATAATAGAGGATCTTATATGCTTTGTAGAATCTCATAACTCTATTATTAGGTTAAAAGAGTTGGCACCATATCTTCAAGAGAAATGTTACAACATCATATCTGTTTTGTTGAAGGAAATTGGAGATGAACTTGCAAAGATTTCTACTTCTTTAGGTAGCAACAAGCAGGAAAATCATTCTTTACCTCACTCGATGCTTGTTGAGAGATCGCTTTTTCTAGGGCGTCTTTTATTTGCATTGCATAACCATT